AGAAAGAAAAAATTATTCATAATTTATTTAATACGCGAGCGATTTAAAACTATAATGGTAGAAATGAGAAAAAATTTCAAAAACTTTAAAAATTCTTTAAAAGTATTAAAATTCTTCAAGAATCGTATATATAGAGAAGAAAGAGAACTCAACATCATAATGTAAAAGATAATTGAAATTTTTAAAAAAGTTTTGAACTTTTTTATCATATAAAAATATTATACAATAATTTTAAAAGTTTTAATTTTATAAATATAAAATTCATTATTTATTCACATTTGTATATTACACGCGCTCATGATGCAACTGGACAAGTATAACAAGTTCATCGTCAGAAGTTAACGATATGTACGTAATAAAGGACAATTGTACACAACAATATTAACTGTGGTAAAAATCTACACAATTACGAAATAACTATGAATTTTGAGGATAAATCTACTTATTCTATCTTAAAATACCATTTTGTTTTTGTTACATAAATTTGATAGAGGGTGATTTTGAAGTTTCGAACCAGTTTTGTTTGCCATTTGATTGCGGAAACCCAGGGGTCTTGAATAACGTCTCTAAAATATTAATAAACAATTAATTTAATAGTTGGATCTTATAAATCGACTGCTAAGGTCATATAATTTTGATGCTTTTGAAGTCCCAATAACTTATTGAAAACAAATAAAAACTTTGATTTCAAGAGTGACTGTAGAAATTTCATTTTGCATTTATTATGATTTTTCATTTCTGAAGTTTTAGTGAAATTACATAGTGATATTTAATTATTCTCAATATTTTCCTTGAATAAATCATGAATAAATCTCGAATCTGTTATGATTTTTTGTTTTTGATTTTATGGTAACATAAGGTCCTTCTGCTAATTCCTTCTTAATTTTTATTAACTTTTTATTAATTTTAAGATATTTTTTTGTTTCACTTAAACTTCAAATTATTTTTCTTACAATGTTCTCGTGAATCAATTCAAATGGGAAAATTTTTTCAATTTCTCTTTTTACATTGTAACAAAATAATTCTGTAGTTTTATAACATCTCATTTAATTTTTCTTTTATATTTTTGTTCGCTTAATAAATAACTAATGGCTAGTATATTAATTTCGAAATGAAAGTATAAAAAAAATATTACAAAAAAAAAAATTTTTTTTTATGAAAACTTTACTTCAATTAAATAACTTTTTTTTTATTTTTTTTTTTGCTATGAAAAAGTTTTTTGATATTAAAAATTATTTAAAATATTCAACTCTTTCAATATTGCATTTATATTCACGCAAAATATTTTATTATACTACCATTTCACTCGTTAAAACATTGACTCGTTAAAGTTTGTAAATTTTTTTTTTGTTGTTAATTTCTTTGTTTAACATTTTGGAAGAGAACGGTACACTTAATTACAATAATTAAAACTTTTATTAGAAAGTCTGTTAAAGATTTATAACACTATAATATTATGTATAACATTGCATATAACAGTGTATAGGTAATAGTGTACACCTGACTTGCATGTTTAAGTGAAAAAAATTCAATAAGAAAATCAAAACAATATGAATTTAATTTTATTTTCTTGCAAAATTTTTTTCAATAAATCTTTTGATTTATTGAGAAAGTATGGGTGCTCTTTTGTTTTTACAGTTTGATTTGGAATTTTCTTTTGTATAAAAAAAATTGTAACTCTTTGACAGTAAAAGAACAGTTTTATATTCAAGTTATAAAAAAGTTGGAGGTTATGTAGTAGTTAAAAGTTGAATCAAGATGTAACAGACATACAAAAATGGCTTAAAAATAGTTTAAAATAGGATAAACTCCTGGTTAAAATAAAATAATATCGCTTAATTTTGTGCAATTTTTTAAAATATTATTATTTTGCAATATAATAGTATTTGTCAATAACTTTAAAAGAGAGCAAAACATATTAATAGGTTTTCTCATTTATTTAATTTTGATTTTATTGCCAGTTTATAAATCTGCCTATATATAGCCTAAATTTGAACGGCATGAAAGCAGAATACAAAAGAACATAGTGTAATAATTGACTAACTTCATATTTTTCCTTTAGAAAACTAATTAAGACCTTTAAAAAAGGCTGATCCGGTAAAAATCCAAACTTTAATTAGATTTTAAAAAGCTATTAATTTCTGTATGATGGCGCGCATATAAATTTTTTCATAATTTTAAAATTTTTTAAATTTATTTTAAAAGAATTAATTAATTTTAATTATTGAATCCAAAATACTATTTTATATTTAATTCTATATTTTAAAATATTTTCAATTTATTTTTTAGAAGTTGTTAGGCCACGTCACGTGGGACAATTATGAACATATTAAATTACTTCATTTTTATCTTTTAAATTTTTAAAATACTCTTCTATACAATAATTTTTATATTCTTAAAAGTTTTATTTGACATTTCTTATTTTTTAACTTAAACTCTTGTATCAAACTATTGTAAACACATCAATTTTAATTATGTCTCAAACTTTGGTAAACATGTCTTAATTAAGTCGATATAATCGACATTATTGAATCGATTAATTTTGTAAACAAATTTGATAAATAAAATATTTTTTTATGTAGTTGAGTTCAGTTCGATTAAGTAAATCAGGCGCAGTGGATGTTAGCTGAACAATGTGGATTAAATAAAAGAAATATTTTGTAAGAAAAAAGACGCCGGTGTTTTTTTTTTGCAGTCATCCGATCGCAGGTTCATCTACATATTTTTTGCACTTTGAAAAGGAACTCGGACAAAAAGCTTGTCCGAACAGATCTCTTGCATTTTGATAAAGGAACGCGGCCAAAAAGCTTGTCTTAACGGAGATGATTTTGTGATTTTTAAAATTATAGGAATGGAAAGAGATTTTAAGAATTTTTATTTTCCATAACAATGAATAAAATCTTCTTTTGGCAAAAATACAGTAAATACAGTAAAAAAATTAAAAAAATTATTAAGACGCAATTTTTTAAGAAAAATTATTAATCAATTTTGTGAATTTGTAAAAAAACTGTTTCTTAGGAAAAATAATTCCAATTCCATTTACGGATTCATTAAAATATTGTGATGAGTAATTGAATTCATTGCCTCACAGAGTTGAGTTCGTTGTCCTTAAATTAATGTTAAATTAATTTTTATTAGGAAATTTGTAAAAAATTTTTATTACACCTTGAATTGGAATTTCCTATGTAAACTAAAATTTACATAATTTTCTGCTAAAAAATAGTAAATAAAATATAGTTGTGATTTGTAGCAGTAAAACTAAAATAATTAATAATTTTGTCACAAAGCAAAAGGTAACAAATTAAAATTTATTATTTACTATAGTCATTTTTATATCTTTAATATTTTAGACAATATGATGTGTGATGACGTTAATTGAATAAAGTACCATTGGATAATCGCTTTCTTTGTAAAAATGGGAAAGATTCGAAAAAAGTACGTATACACATTTCCTTTTTTTGAAAAGTTAAGATTTTAACTGGCAAATTCGTTAAGAACAAAGTTACAAAATTATTGTTAATTTAATAGTTTTAAAAAGAATAATCTGAAATAAAATAATTAAACTATGTCTAAACGGTAGTGACGTCATATTAATGCTTTTTGTACTCATATAGGAACATAGATAATACTGATTGAAAATTTTTTGGCTGAAACCTGTTAGTAATTCAACGCCAAAATGAAAATAATCAATGTCATTCTTTTCTTATTATGTGTAATCAAATTATTATTGTATAATTATTGCATATTTATAGGAGAATGTAATAATTTTATGTAGTTACCACAATATTTCAAATTGAAATTATGTATTGCTAAAATTTTTTTCCAAACTCATAAGATACATTGAACTTTTTTGTTAAAGTACCAAAATATTTTTAGATAAGGACTTTAATAATTTCATGTTTTTGTTTTGTATCTAAGCACTTAAAATTTTATGACAGTCATTATCATTTAAGAATCCATTAACACTTATAATTTTTATTTTTATTTTGTATTGTGATTTTTCATCTTTCATTTTCAATTTTATTTTTTTCATTTTGTTAAAATTTTTAGGTAATTATTTTTCATAAATTTTCTTTTTCCATACAATATATAAACGAAAACGATAAATGGAAGGAAAAAGAGAAATCAAAATATTTTGTGATTTTCTTATTTTTTTCAGCTTTTTTTTAGATTTAAGGATACGATCTAAGAAATTAATAGCTACGCATTGTATTAAACACTTTCGTACAATATTAAAAAGGCATTTTATTTTATTTTATTGTATTTTTATTTGATTGCTTTCACGATAAGTTAAAGTGTGTATATTATAACAATAAAATTTTTAATGTTTAAGGCCATTAACAGATGGCATCGATACAGAAAAGTAAATTTTAAATTCTTTATTTTGATAAATTGTAGGCTATTAAAAGTGTTAAATTGAATATGTTACCAATTTCATTATAAAAAATTGTTATCGAAATTAAATGTTGTAGTCCTTTAGATAAAAGGTTAAAGTGAAGATTTTTTATTATTAATTGTAACAAGGAGTCACTCTAATTTTTGGACGCTTATGAAATATTTGATATTTACTGGCATGTCTACGTATAGAATAAAGGAATGCTTTCAAAATATTAGAATGTTGCATGTCAAAAATTAATTTAATATAAAGTAGTTATATTGTATAAGGGCAGATTAAATCGAATATGGAGTTTTGATTGAGTTTATTAATGTGTGTAAGATTATTAATGGGCGAATTGTATTTGTTAAATGTTTTTGTATAAGAGTTTGTATGTTAAATACGATGATCCAATTTACAAATTTGAAATGTAAAATTTTAGTACGAACAACATTGAATTAAAATTATAATTAAAATACAACTATAATAATATAAAGTAATTAAAATTCTAAAAGAATTTCTACAACACCAAAAGCATTTCGAAAACTTATACTATACTAAATAGGTACTACAGACAGTTTATGATTAAAAACAACAAAAACATTTCAAAAAATTTCAAACTTACCTTTCCTAATTGTGTTGGCAATACTGTATTTGAATTATTTTGTGCTGAATCACTATCATGTTTGACATGTATTAACCATGTTGCTTCACTATGAAAACTTTTATCAGCTGCATAACAACGCCATAAACATTGTATTAACATAGCAGCTGCTGGAATTTGTCTATTAAAATGTTTTTGACGTTGTTTTTGTTGTACTTTTAAAGCGAAACCACTACCCAAAATACCCTAAAAAAAACATTAAAATAAAGTTGCAATAATTTTGGTTTTTTAATTGATTAAAGGATTTTTAACTTACAGCTGGCAATGCAAAAAATGATATCGCAAATACACTAAAACATGATGCTACAATTTTTCCCATCCATGTTTGTGGCACTGTATCACCATAACCTATTGTCGTTACCGTAATAACACCCCACCATAATGCATCAGCATATGAACGAAAATCACTACGTTTACCATCTGGTTCAGCATCTTTTTCCGCTAAATATACAAAATATGAGCTAAATATTAATCCCAAAAATCCAATATACAATGTTGTAATTAATTCCTGCAAAATAGTTGTGTATACAATTAAAAAAAAATTAAATTGACTTCAAATAATAAATTTATTTATATTCGAAATATTTTACCTGTCTATGAATAAAAACTACTGAGCCTAATAAACGCCATGTACCACCTTGACGATCAACATGTAACATACGAAGAATTTGCAAAAATCGTATACCACGAATAGCACTTGTTGCAAACACTTGTCCATTAGAACCAACTGATAAAACTACCATGGAAGCAACCACAACAATTAAGTCTGGAAAATAAAAACGAAAAATAATAGTATTATTAAAAATACATTTTAAATTGTCAAAGCAATTAAATTATATCGACATTAATTAAATTGTCTAAGTAAAGCAGTAGATTAGCAGTTACGTCTTTGTTCCTTCGATTTATTCTTTGTAATATTATTTCAGTGTTATTAAACCCTGATTAAAGTACTGCAATCAAAAAGGTTTGAAATTTCCAGTTTCATCAAAAAACTATATCCAAATCATAGGCTAAGCATAGGTCTTTTATTTTTCCTTCTATAAGACGCAAAGTTATGTCGTCTTTAGAGGGAAATGTGCTGTTTTATAAACCATGGGTTTGATAATTCTTTTTTTAAATAAAATCCTGTTAGATGTAATAAAAATATTTTTATTAAATATGAAGAAATTATTCGTTTAATTCTTTTACAGAAATTGAAAAGGATAACCGAAAATGAAATTCAACAATCGAAATAACGACCTATTAAGAGGCCTTTGATTTAACTGTATAACGTCAATAAAAATATTGTTTTAAATAAACAATCATTGTACTGAAATATACATACATATAAACATACATATATATTTTTATGTACACTTATTTATCATCATCAATATTAAAGAAGCTTTTATCCCAAGGTTTTATCCTTACTGTCCTGATTGCTGATATAAAATATTATTTTTCTACCTGAATGTACATATGCGAATTAATACAGGGTCGGATTCGATTACTATTAATACCGTTATTGTTGTAATTCTAGCATCTAATTATGAAATTATAAATTAATTTAACGTAGCTGTGAAAGTTACTTCGTCTTTCGAGAACACATTTGAGAGTGGCAGCGGATTGGTATTACGAATTAAAAAGATTAGCTTACTGGGGCGATGACTTCTCCTGACGGTCGTAATAGTTCAAATTTCTCCAAATGTTTCGAAAGCTTTTTAATTTTTTTTAGGAATCAATATGACTTTTTCATACAATATGATTATTTTATACAAGAGAATTACGAAATTCAGCTAAGTGTCATCAACATGACTTTTGTATAAAAGAGTCATTTTAAAAAATCTTGTTCGGACTGACACTAATATGATCGCGTTAAGTTACATTTGGTATACAATACTGAAAATAGTAAGAATATGATTATATAAGTATATATCACCCTTGTGTTAGTTTGTAATATCCCTTGAACCCGCTTCTGTTCGATGAATCAATAGAAGAGAGAAAGATACAAACAGAAAAACAAACAGCAAAACTGATAGGAAAGCATTTTCCTTTCACTTTATTTTTGTTTTTTTTTTTGCTTTTTGATTATTATTGACATTAAATATTAACATAGGAGGATTTACGCAGAACTAATGATAATGGTAATATTGGGAGTGCTACCATAACATTATGTTGAAAGATTTTTTAAATACATTTTTGTTATATTGGTATACTAGATATTTGCGGATGGTATATAATAACAAATCATTTATATTAATGATTTTGGATAATGTTTATGACCTAATTTGATTTGATCACTTGATACTTATATATACGCTTTGTTGTTACATTATAAATTATATCATTCGTATTCTTATAGAGTAAGCAATTTTGTATCAATATTTATTTACTATCCAAAAAATAAAATAACCATGTAAAATATGTTAAACCAATTTATATAAAACTTATCTCAAATTCATGTTTATTTATTTAATTGTTGTAAAGAAAATTAATGTTGAAATTCCGAGAACATTTATTATTCTTAAGCCTGTATACAAGGTACAGATATAATTTTAAATAGAAATTTATGGGTAGTGACTATTGTTCTGCTAAAGTATAGAAGGTGGTTTGTTTGTGGAATTTCATTATGTAGGTAGTTACGAAAATCAGCATATAATTTGTTTCCCAATTCTGTTTTTAAGAATTATTAGAAATAAATATAATTTTTCGCCGACATTTTGTTCTTGGTTAAAACTTGTTATAGCATATATATTTTTGGAGGCAGATCGACCGTCCAGATGCGTTAATCAACTGAGTCAATTTTTTTGAGTTGATCAGGATCAAAATCTCATATAGGGATGAAAATAATTTTATTGTTAATGTTGACGTATACATACTTGAGAAAATTAACCACCACAGCAGAAATTTAGGGCTTGCAATCAATGCTTCAAAAAAAAATTCATAATAGTCAATCAAAATCAACAACCTTTCGACCGAACTAAATTTAAATATCTTGGAAGCTGGTTAAATAGTGATTAAGATAGCAGTAGAGAAGTCAAATGCCGAATTGAAATGGCCAGAGAAGCTTTTTTAAAATACCAGAAACTATTTTGTTACAGAGATTTAAGTATTAGAATCCGCACAAGATTTATGAAGTGCTATGTATGGTTAGTCCTTCTGCATGGGATGGAGTCTTGGACAATAAAAATCAAAAACATAAATAAACTCGAAGCATTTGGAATGTAGGTCTACCGAAGAATACTGAAAATCTCATCAACAGAAAATATTTCAAACGAAGAATTTCTAATAAGAATTGGCGAAAACTGAGAATTACTTCAAAGAATTAAACGACAAAATGCGTCCTATTTTGATCATATTTTGAGAGGAGAGAAATACGAATTGATTCAGCTTATAGTCCAATGAAAAATTGAATTAAATACCCCTTGTCTTTGAAGAAACCAGATGTCATGACTAAGAAGTATTAGGCAATGAACAGGTATTTCAAATATAGGGGAACTGACGCATACGGCCAACGATCGCATCAAACATCAGCAACTAGTAAATAGTATCATATGATCGCTTATGTCCAAAAGTGGATATGCAGCAGAAGAAGATAACGTAAAAATAAGTGAGAAAAAAATCATACTAATAAAACGTCACAAAAAATATAATCTTTTATCCTTTTACTTTAAGTATACACAGTAAAATTTAATTTTATAATAATTTGGATAAGTAATAATTTAAAAAACTTAACCCCCGTTGAATTGATTTCATTAGGTATAAATACTCTTAAGTCATAAAATAAATAAAAAATTTTAATTTAATTACAATATGATTTAACATAATCCAAGGTTGAATTCAACGTAATATTTGAGTGCAAAAAAAAAGTAAAAGTTAAAAAGTGTCAGAGTATTAAAAATTTTTATGTTGATACCCAAAAATTAAGAGAAGACATGTGAAAAGGATTCTTTATTATTATTATTACAACAATATAGTCCTTGTTAATAAAATTTAAAGGATTATAATAAAAAAAAAAACAAGTCATTTTTTTGGGAATAATAATGTACGAGAGTACTGAAAATGGAATTTTAATTCCATTTATAGCCCTTTTATTAATATGTTAAAATTTTTAAGTGTGTGATTTTTGGTTTTAACAATTATTTCGACTACATCTTACCCATTAAAAATTAAATGAAATTTTTTTATTTTAATATTTTCAAATATTAGTTTTAACTTAATTATAATTACTTACATATATTTAAGATTTGGGGTTACTTAATAGAAAATGTAGTCGAATTGCTAAAATTTTTAATGCCAATTACTTTCTTTAACCGGATAGTAATAACAATTCAAAATAATATTCAAAGAAATTTATTTTTTAGTTTAAAAATGTTTAAAAAATAAAATGAAAATAATGAAAGCGAGGCACTATATAAGCTATTGTAAAAATTCGCTTTAATTTTAACAACATTCCAAAAGGGTTACAAATTTCAAAATTATCTACATATTTAATATGCAAAATCACTAATATTAAAACACACAAAAAAGTATTGATCAAAAATTCATCTTAAATCAATGTTTTAAAATATAAGTGACTTTTTGCGGATTTTGTATGAATTACCGCCCTCTAGCGTGTACGGTAAATTAAGAGTAAATAATAAAGCAAAACTTATTACGGTGTTTATAAATACACCCTCGCACTAATTAAGAATTCTACAAATTCTCATTTAAGAAAAAAATTCAAAAGAAAGTTATAAGGGAGAAAATTATCAAGCACACGTTCATTCACACATACTACAAACGCACTTAATGAAAAATTTAAAATCAATAAAACTTATTGCGATTTCACGTTCTAAAGATGAAGAAATTTTTTTCACATATTGTGTGTTTTTCTGCTAGAACTCAAAAATGAAATTTAGGTAGTACGCAATATTTTATGAGATTAATTTTTATTTTGAGTATTTTTTGGCAATAAGTCAAAAAGATGAAGAATATAAAAATATTAAAAAGGGTTTGTTTTTACCATCATTTTACTAGATTCATTGTTCGGTGATTCACACGGGGTAATTTTAAAAATCAATTTTGACAATTGAAGAGGTAAGTGGATAAAGGAGTTAACTTATATTTTGACGAAAATCGAGTTGCTCGGATAGAACATCATTAAATTTGATGTATTTTCAACTGTGATTACTCTTATAGCTAGAAACTTAATAGAAGACGAGATTGGCAGTGCACATAGGACTTATAAGTAACAAAAAAATAAATATATTTACAATTTGTTAATGAAAAAAAGTGTCAGAATGCAAATGCAAGTTAAGCCCTTTGTCCACTTATCGCTTCAATTAGTAAGATTTTGAAAAATTGTTCTGACCAGAGCAACATATTAAATAATATAAAATAAAAAATGAGAATAAAATAAAAAATGAGGGTAGACGCTCTCCATGTGCCAAAACGAGAGAGCGCACGTTCTGATAGCAAACGTTCTATCGCTCGCTTACAAAAAAAAAAGAAATTTTGCTAAAATCATATTTGACAGATCCTACGATTTCCCTTATATTTTTACAAAGAATATCTTTCATTTCACAAATTTGAAAAATATTAAAAGTCTCAGTCAAATATAAAGTATATATAAGTTTTTATATTAAAATACTTAAGCGTCATTAATTAATATTCAATATAGATTCTTATTAACTTCAAAAAAGAAACAAAATGTGGGCAGATTGAAAAATAATCCTCTTTTATATAAAATTTTTATTTTGTGTTTATTTTTATTTTAATATACCATTTTTCCACATCAATTCATAA